CCCACTCAAAAAGCAAACCATTCCACGCTTAGAATTGTGCGCTGCTCTTCTAGGAGCCACATTAATGAATAGGGTAAAGGGCGATTTAAATCATAAGACAGAATCATATTACTGGACTGATTCTGAAATTGTACTCTACTGGATTAATTCTTTGCCAGCAAAACATCAACAATTTGTAGCAAACAGGACTGCGGCAATTCAAGACTTATCCGCACCAAGTCAGTGGCGACATGTAAGTTCAAGACTAAATCCAGCAGATGCCTTATCACGCGGCATCAAACCATCTCAATTGCAAACTCATAATTTATGGTTCTATGGTCCTATGTTTTTACATGGTCGTGAAGATATGTGGCCAGAAGAATTCAATAAGGCCCTATGCAATCAGCCAGACAACGCCGAGTTAAAAAAAACTTCGCAGAAAGTGATGCTAACAGCAACCGAAGATGATACTGAATGGATATACAAGGTAAACCACAGAAATTCTTTTAACACATTGCTTCACATTGTTGGTTATGTGCTACGGTTCATAAGGCGTAGTAAGCGACTTCAATTTAATAATCATACCAATGAATTACATCCGGAAGAGTTAGAAGAATCACTTAGGTACATCGTGAAATGCATTCAGGCTACTGAATTCAAGGAAGAGGTAATTGATTTAAAGCATCGCAAACTGGTGAAAGCATCTAGCTCGTTAGCTGCATTGACTCCGTTTTTAGATAAATATGATATCGTTCGGGTCGGAGGAAGATTAGACGCATCAAATCTAACATATAATGCTAAACATCAAATGCTCCTCCCATACAATGACTGCATAGTTAAGCTATTAATGAAGAAAATTCACGAAGAAAACATGCATTGCGGTGGCCAAGCATTATTGGCAGCGACACGGCAAAAATTTTGGCCGATCAAGGGGAAGGTAATGGCACGGTCCATCGTGCAACACTGTATTCGTTGTACAAGGTGTAGACCTGTAACTTTCAATCAAATTATGGGAAATCTTCCACATGCTCGAGTCCATCCAAGTAGACCATTTCTTAACACGGGAGTCGATTTTTGTGGACCAATTTGGGTACACTACAAAGTAAGAGGAAAGCGGCCGCACAAGGCATATATTGCTGTTTTCTGTTGTTTTGCCACCAAGGCAGTACATTTGGAGCTGGTAAGTGACCTAACTACCGACGCATTTATTGGATCAGTTAAACGTTTTGTTGCGAGGCGTGGGCTTTGCCAAAATCTATTTTGTGACAATGCAACTAATTTTGTTGGAGCCAATAACAAACTGAATGAACTAGTAGAAATAATTTACTCAAAAAAATCAGGAGAAGTAATTGAAAGAGCGTGCAGCAAAAAAGGTATTAAATTTAACTTCATTCCTCCTCGTACGCCTCACTTCGGAGGACTCTGGGAAGCAGCAGTGAAGTCGGCGAAACATTTACTTGTGCGCAGCGTTGCCACAGAATCCTTAACGTACGAAGAGTTAAAAACAGTTGTTATTGAAATAGAGGCGATTTTAAATTCAAGACCGATTACTCCAATGTCGAATGATCCAAATGACTTTGAAGCACTTACGCCAGGCCACTTTCTAATTGGTGAAGCTCTTACAGCACCAGCAAGTACAACCACAACAAATTTAAAGACATCATTACTAACGAGGTGGAAATTGGTGTCCCACATAAAACATGAATTCTGGAGACGGTGGAACTCTGAATATCTAAATGAGCTACAATACCGACGTAAATGGCGAGAAGAATGCAAAAATTTGCAAGAAAACACTTTAGTCATCATGAAGGATGGAAATTTACCTCCTCTTCAGTGGGCATTGGGTCGAGTAACCAATATACATAAGGGTACTGACGGAATGGTACGTGTGGTCGATGTTAAAACAGCATCAGGTATTGTGAGACGTGCCATACATAATTAGGCTCCACTTTTTTCTGAAACCAACGACAGTGAAGATGACAAGATACCACCAATACAACCAAAAGAAGCAACAAAGCAACAACTGACAGCATCAAAAAGGCCTATACAGGTACCAAATTCATCGGTTAGTAGTATCAATCATTTCGGACGCAATTCGAAGGTATCCAAACGATCGAGCAACTGCTGATCTCACACCAAAAATCTGGGGAAGACAAAACATGATGTAAAATTTTTAAATAATATAAGTACACAGTTATCTGATGAGGCGTCCAGCGATGTACTTCAGTCTATGATTCATCAACGTAATATTTAATATGGCTTAAATTCACTTTTAAATTTAAATTTAAATTTTATAAATACATTCAAAATTTTGAATTAATAACCAATAAATTAATTGTAACTAATTGAAATTATTAAAATTCACATATGAAACTTTTAATTGTTCTTATAAACTTAATAACAAAAAATGTTAACAATGCTTTTTACAATTTTGACAGTTGAAAATCATGTGCAATTTAAGATGTAAACAAGCAAAAAAAACAACACAGAAGCAAGCTCTCATGACCTAGATCAACTTGTTTATTTAAAATTAAGGTGCAGTTATGCCATATCAATTGCAGGCATGCATTTTATCGCACTTTTAGTTAAATTATTCAAATTATTCAAATAATTCAACGCGGGGGAGGATGTTAAATCTCCGTAAGGTAAAATCTTGGTCGTAATAGCTACATAAAAGACTTCATCTTCTTAACGTTGTCAAACACTAGTAATCAGCTGTTTGGCAACAAAAGGAGAATGAAGTAAGCTTTAAGCTTGATTAGGGACATGAGAGCAGCTTCTGTGTTGGGTTCAAGCTAAAAGACTTGCTTTTTTTGGTTGAACGGTCAGACGAGTAACAACTGGTAAAAAATAGCACATTTAACAACAAATTGTCCAAACTACCTTGAAATAAATAAAGAAATAAATAAACACATAAAATACAAATAAGAATTTTGGAGTTGATCTTTTTATTACAAATTTGATTAGTAAGGCAAACTACGAGTTTAAGTGCTCGGCAGTTTACCATTAATAAATACAAAATATATCATCCAACGCGTGCATGTGCGTGTTGGAAGTTTGATATAACTTCTTGGAAATTAATAAGAACAAACGCGTTCTTATCAGATGCGTTATTATCATTACTTAAATTAAATGGTATTAAATACCACACTTATTGCTGAAGAATTTAAAAGTAACGGTGTAAGCCAATGCCTCAGTTGTTGGCGTCTGGAACTAGCTCAAGTTGCACATACAATCCTCGTTGTGTCAAATGCATATTTAATCATGAAATCGGCAAATGTCAACTAGATACAAACACGGCACTAAAAGCTAGTTGTGTAAATTGCAGAATGAATACGCACATGGCGAACTCTAAGGAATGTCCAGTATATAAACGAATCATTGAACGCAGAAACAAAAAATCTGAAAGAGTAAACACTAATGAACATAGAATTTCAGCAAGCGCAAATGGATTAAACGGCCAACAAATTTATGCACAAATAACTCGAATAAAACAAAACAATATCATGGAAAATTCCGAATTTAAACAGTTCATTAGCAACTTAATTATCCAAACTGTTAATAACGTAATAACCAAAATTGCACCACAGCTGATCCCGTTAAATATTACAAATGAATTTTAATAAAAATATAAAATGTATTGAGCTGAATGTTAACTCACTTAAAAGCAAATATAAACAACATTGCCTTATGGAATTTCTAGATGAACACAAACCTGACGTCAGCATAAAATCAACACCAACACTATATCAGACAATATAAGTAACCAACTCACCCTCCAAAATATTACATCGAAAATACCTGAAAAATAAGAAATTTATTAATATATATTTGGTCACTTAATTGTACATACATTACCTGTGATCCACTAGCCTGATGAGCCGCGGGCATTGATCCGTAAACTGCACAAACCTAAAGAAGAAGCAATGAACAAAAGTGAATTTTATAAATGAATTTGGAATTTTATTTACATATTTTAATTTAAAACATACATTGAACATTTACTAAACAATAAACAACACATTTATTTAATAAACATAGATCTTTTGCACTATTAATTAATAAACATGAATTACTAACATTGAAAACACTCACTGTTTACATTTTTTTTTACAACATAAAAACAAAATAGAGAAAGGAAACATTTATTTAAAAAAACGTAAAATATAACACATCAAAAAAAACCCACTTCTGCTATAAATACTTTGGTTGGGTTATTTTTCTTTTATGGACAAACACTGTATTGATTAAAAATATATTTTCTTTAATTAACCAGGCATAAACAAACTACCGACGGAGAAAACAAGCTACAATTTCAATTACACCGGCACTGATTTTGCGCAGCAGCATTAAAATTCTATTTCCACATTTATTAAATCACTCACTTATATTTTGACACATATTGTTTTGATATTTATTTTAATTATAAATATATTTTTATATTTTGTTTTTATATTTTGTTTTAAAAAAAAATAGAAACGCGAAGTAATCAAAACGTAATCGCGGCGAAAACAAAGGCAGGCGAAGAAAAGTGCGCAAAAATGCAAATAACACGAAGTACACGACAATACACAAAATACACAAGAAAGACACGAAAAGCACAAAAAGTCAACACGAACAACGACGTTTACCGGTACGCTGCACCGAAAAGCTCCGGTCAAATCGGTATATAAGAACGCGCATTTTACAGAACGAGGAACTTGTCTCTTGGAGCTCAAGCGATTTACAAGTTCACTGGTCAATTCGATCAAAACTAGATTACAGGCTACTTCAGTCTAACTGGTCAATTCGATCAAAGTAGGAAACTGATTTCATTTAATTTTCTCTTTTCCGTTAATTATTATTTTGATCATTCAGCCCACAGACAAATTGCTTGACACAAAACATCCGCAAGGAGAGAAGGAACCCAGGAGAGAACGCGGTCCTGTCAGGAACCTCCTCAACGTCAGAGTCAACCACGGAAGCCTGTACGACGATTCTTTAAAATCACGCCTATATTTACCCTGAAGACACAAACATCAGAAGCGAACGTCGGAGTTACCAAGAATTACTATTTTTTTTTCTTAAATGTCTATAACCATTGTTTTTTTTATATATATATTGGAATAAATAAAATTGGTAAATTATTATAAAAATACGCTTTTATTTTGGTTCCTAAAAAAATTCAGTCCCGAAGATATAAATTCTATTATAACAAACCTGGACAACCGCTTTGCTACTCCAGCAAAACGTAACGAACGAAAAAAGGTCGTTACATGTTTTAATTAGAACACACACACAAATTACCTCCCTTGCTCAAATTGAATTGAATGAGTATCTTGAAAAAATACTTAAATATACCAACAAATGGAAAATAAAGATAAATACAAATAAATCGGAAGAAATAGCGATAGTAGGAAATATATTCCAAACCAAACGTAGAGTACGGAAAAATTGCTTTAATATAGAATTAGTCTTTAACAATGAATTAATACCTAAAATCGCACACCTAAAATATTTAGGCGTTTATTTTACTAAAAACTTTAAATTTAACTTTCATTTGCAATATATCAAAGCAAAAATGCTTGCAGCATATTTTGTACTAAAAAATATCTTTTTTAACCGGAAAATAAATGAAAAGATAAAACTTTTAGCTTATAAACAAATCATAAAACCAATAGCCATGTACGCATGTCCCATTTGGTTACAAGTATCCAAAGCGCAAAAAGAATTGATAAGTAAATTAGAAAGAAAAATTCTAAGATCATGTTCAGGATTGTTTCGTAGACCTATC